CCGCTCTCTCCTTTTTTTTTGAGACAGAGTTTCTTTATGTAGCCCTGGCTGTTCTGGAACTGAACTTACTATGTAGACCAGGCTAGCCTAAAACCCTAGACCCACCTCTGCCTTCCGAGTGCTGGGATTAAGGGCATGCACAGCCCCACACCCCTCTGGCACCTTCCAGGGATCAGGGTTTCTTTCCCTGCTTTTCTGAGGTGCTGTGGGATTGACACAGCCCCGAGAGCTTGTCTGAGGGCCACAGAATTCTGACAGGATACACCTGCGGTTGGTCTCAGCTTTTCTGTTTTCTGGGACTATTTCAGCTCTCCTTTTTCCTATGCTGCAGCTTTAAGTATATCAGGACTTTCATTATTGTAATGGATTGGGAATTCAGAACACTGAAAAAGTAAGATGACTCCAAATGGTCTTGCCTCTGACCCTTCCTTGTACCTTTGTTGCTGTGAGAGACCGGAGCAGAAGAAAGTGTGGAGTCCAGGTTACAAAGTCACACTCAAATTAATGGAGGGAGTCAGCTTTTTATCGTCATGTAAGCATGTATGCGTGGTTATACAGATGTTAAAAGTGTGTCTGCGGATTTGGAAGCTTGGGTCCGCTGGTGGCTAGGGGGTAGAAGAGGTAGAAGAGTCACCACGTCCTGTGCAGTCAGCTGTGGGCTTGAGCAAATCCCTCATGGTTCTGCAAGTCTCTTTCTGTAGAAAACGGATGTTGGAGGAAGAGGGTTTGGAAATTTATTGATCCAGTATCTGATCAATTGCAGAATTTCATCTATAATATTCTTTTCTTCCTCTGTTTTTTTTGACAGTTTATCTGGCTCCTTTTTTTTTTTTTGAGATACTCTTATAAAAACCAGATTGATCTTGAACTCCCTGTTGGCTGAGAATGACCTTGAACTTCTGACCCTCCTGCCACCTTCTAAGCTTGAGATTACTTGCACTACCATATCTAATCTAGTTTTATGACGTGCTGGGAATAGAACCCAGGCCTGGGTGCGTGCTAGGCAAGTGCTCTTCCAACTGAGCTACATCCTTAGCACCTCATTTACAATCTTCTTTGACAGGTGGCCTATTAACCACTTTCCCATGGAAAAAACTCACTTGCCTCAGCCTGTCCCTCTGACTGTGTCAAGCTTGGCCTCTCAGCATAGCCCTTTGCATGAAAGTTGGAGTCACTTACTTGGGTGTCAAGAAAGACAGTGTACTTGTAAGAAAGAAAATCAACTTGAACTTGCGTCAACTCGAACACTTCACTCGTTGCAAAACCTTGAGTAAATTGCATGAGAGTTCTAAGCCTCGGTTTCCTGTCTGTTCGGTGGAAACATTATAACCTGTGGAGAAATTGCAAGCCATGTAGAAAGTTCAGTGGGAAGATTAGAAGTAATTTCTATAAAAATGTCTTGACATAAAGGATGCTTCATAAAATTATGAAGACTCTTTTTTGTAGCATACCACAAAATCAGTGTTTATAAAGCTTGAAGTTTATGGCGTGGTTTCAAATTCTTTTGTTTTGTTTTGTTCTTTGAGATGTGGTCTCAATGTGTAGCTCTGACTGTCCTGGAACTCACACTCTAGAACAGAGATCCTCCTGCCTCTGCCTCCAGACTGCTGGAATTAAAGGTGTGTGCCACCACAAGAGGTGGTTTCAGGCTCTTGTCCAGGAATTTATTTTTCAACCTTTCCCTTGCCCCAGTCTTATACAAATAACTACTTCCTATATATTTCCTAGTGCTTCCCGTCCTTTTCAGTCCAATGTTATTTCTGCTTGCACAGTTGAAAACGGTTTGATGGAAACGTGGGCTTGAACTCAATGAGGTTATATGCAGGTATATGCTCAAGGACAAAACATGTATAGTGGAGGTGACATTTCATCTCTTACTTTGGGCGTAAGAGGTTTTTAAAATTTTGCTGCAAATAGATAATATTCTCCTGAAATAAAGGAAGGCTGGGTAGAAGATAAAACATCCCTTGAAGGACAAAGGCATCTGATTTTCTGGGCAGGAAATTTGTGAGGTTGGGAGTGAGCTAACCCAGAAGTCTGGGCCTCTGTCAGTTGAAACTTCATGGAAAATGTCCTCAGGACAAAAGCTGCAAAGTGACTGCTCTGGAATTTGTCCGTAACTATTGACCATCAAAATGTGGGGCTTTTTGACCTAGTAAATCTGTGGAAAGGAGCTCGGCTGCAGAAATCCAAGCACGAGCATTTGTTTGTAAAGACAGCCACAAGGTTGTTGGTTGTTTTGTGATTTCCAAGAGCAAACTAAAGACATAATATGGAGCTTTCAGAGACTAGTGACCCCCAAGTGGAATTCTATATACTAGTACATGGTGTCGGCCTGTGCAATGTCCAGGACATGTGGCTAAGGAAAAAAGAAATGCTACAGAAAGATGCTGCATCTGCATATCTAACTGCATTTGCTTGTGTGCACTTATGTGCACAAATAGATACAATGTAGCATGTGTATTTTTAGAAAAATCATCGAAAACTGTTAACGTTAGCATTAGCTAATTCCACAGATGGAATCTGGGGAGTGGTTGTCATTTTCTTCCAATTTTCATGTCTTAAGGGGTTTTTGAGACAGGGTCTCTCTTTACTTAGCCCAGGCAATCCTGGAACTCACTCCATAAACCAGGCTGCCTTGAACTCACAGAGATCCACCTGCCACTGCCTCCACGTGCTGAGATTGACAGCGAACACCACCAAGCCCGGCTTCATCCCAACTTTAGTGTTTTATATACTTACACATGTGAGTACTCTTTGTGTAATTTTTTAAGTGAATAGATGAGAATAACTAAATTCAGAAATATGATTAAACATTTGGCTATCTTTTCCTAAATATGAGGAGACTTTCCTTGCACAAAAATTAAAGTTATCTTTAATTTTCCTTACATTTAATTAGTTAATTGAGGGTCATGACTGAAATGCAATTGAGTGGAGATCAGAGAAGAACTTGTGGGAGTTGGTTCTTGCTTTCTACCACGTGGGGTCCAGGAATCACTGTGCTTGTCAAAGGCAAGCACCCCTGCCCCTCGACCACCCCTAGCTCCTGAGCACTCCTACACCCTGAGCACCCCTACCCCCTGACAACCCCTACCCCCTGACAACCCCTACCCCCTGAGAACCCCTACCCCCTGACACCCCTACCCCCTGACCACCCCTACCGCCTGAGCACCAATACCCCTGACCACGCCTACCCCCTGAGCACCCCTCCCTCCGGAGAACCCCTACACCCTGAGCAACCCTACCCCCTGAGCACCCAAACATCCTGAGCACCCATACATCCTGAGCACCCCTACCCCCTGAGCACCCAAACGCCCTGAGCACCCCTACCCTCTGGGCACCCCTACCCTCTGAGCACCCATACTCCCTGACAACCCCTACCGCCTGAGCACCCCTACCTGCTGAGCCATCTTGCTGGCCTGAGAAAACCTATTTTAAAGAGAACAGACTTAATCTATTTCCTCTGAATAAGAAGAGTCTCAGAACTGAAAAACAGTCTGGTTTAGCCCTCTATAAAAACAACTCACTATCCAAGCCCTCGGGAAAAGGGATTTATCTGGAATTCCTGAGTCCCCGGGGGCTTCTTTTTACCTTTTCACCTCTTCCTCTGTATCTTGAATAAAACAAAATGTCCCGACTGGAGTGTGACTCTGATGAGTGCTGTTCTTGAAGAAGGGAAGATCTGGGCATCAGATAATTTCCCCTGAGCAGCCTGTATAGACTAAAGGCCAAGTACTGGTTACTCTGGGCCCAGGAATTTACCCATTTCAGTCTGACACTGTGGACAGATGTCTTCAAACATGTGCTTGTTCAGTCGATTAAAAAGCAGTGATAATGAGCACCTGGGCGCAACTTTTTTTTTAAAGGGGAAGTTGCCTTACGCAAAGAAATATCCTTTACTGACTGCTACTGTGTCATTGACTCCAGATGATTGTTTCTTGAAATTTGCTTTGTTAGTTGCTGAGTACAGTTTGTTAAACTCATTTGTGCCTTCATTTGATTGTCAGCAATAGGGCATAGAAGTCAGCAGTCAACTAAAGGTTTAGGGATTAAAATGTGTGAGTTTGAACTCCTAGGCAAACATTCATCGCCTACAAGGTCTTGACAAGTTATATAACCTACCCAAGTCTCTGATTCCTCATCAGTAAACTGCTGACAGTAACCAATAACTTGTAAAGAATATTTAAGACATTATTATTAGCTGTTTGGAGTAGTTAGGTGTGGTAGCAAATTCCTTTAATCCTCGCACTGGTGAAGTAGAAGCAAGCTGATATCTGTGAGTTCAAGGCCAGCCAGAGTTATGCGGGGAGATCCTGTTCAAAAGAAACGAACAAATAAACAAAAGAGTGGCTTGCCTTTAATCCAAGCACTTGGGAGGCAGAGACAAGAGAAATCTGAGAGTTGCAGAACAGCCAGAACTACAAAGAAAGGTCCTGTCACAAAAAAAAAAAACAAACCAGATAAACAAGCAAGCAAGCAAGAAACAAAGGATACAATAAATACAAAAGCAAAATATTTAAAATGTGTCAGCACAGCACTTGGCACATATGACAAGTTCAATAAAGGCTGACTATTGTCACAAGTTTATCATTCAAAAATATTTATTTAGTGACTAAGGTTCAGTTGCTAAAGTACTTTACTTCTCAAGCATGAGGGCCTGAGTTCAAGTTCCAGCACCTAAGCAAAGAAACCAAGTACTGTAAAGAGCATGCTTGCAATCTCAGTGCTAGAGAGGTCCAGACAAGAGGACCCCTGGGGTTCAGGGCCAGCAGGCCCCGCCTACTTGGCAAGTTTGAGACCAGTGAGGAAACTCTGAGTGGTACCTGAGGATCAGCACTGAAGGCTGTGTTCTGGCCTCTCCATGTGTGTGCATGTACACAAGTATGTACACCTGCATAAACAGGAATAGGCACACACACACACACACACACACACGAGTTGGTGAGAATATGAATTATTGCACAGAGTTTAGGATTGTATGTCAAATTTTATGCCATATTCTGAATTTGATTACTGTGGTGGTTTGAATTAAGAATGGCCCCATAGGCTCATAGATTTGAATACTTGGTCCCTTCTTGGTGGAACCATTTGGAAAATATTAGGAGTTATGGTCTTGTAGGAGGAGGTATGTCACTGAGGGAAGGCATTAAGGCATTGATTCCTGTAACTGCCCCCTCGCCACACACACACACACACACACACACACACACACCTCATGTGAACTGTCAGCTGTTCACGGACTCCAACCCTCTGAACCCACAGCTAAATTAAACAGATTTTCTTTTATGAGTTACCCTGGTCATGATGTTTTACCACAGCCACAGAAAAAAGACTAAGACAAATTGTTTAGATTGTGTTCCCTGATTTAAGGAGGGATTTCTCCTTAAAACGTGGATGTAGATCAGAGTTTCTCAATATAATAGAATTAAGGGGCTTCATGAACTTGGGTGAAGGAAGGGAAAATCAATTATTTTTCAGTAACCTCTGTGCCTATACCAGCACTTTGGAGACTAAGGCAGGCGAATGATGAGTTGAGGCCAACCTGTGCTAGATTGCAAGACCCTGTCTCAAAAAACTAAAAAAGATATCTAATATTCTGTCTGGAGACTAAAGGAGGATTGTCCTGCATTTGAGGCCAACCTTGGCTACATACTGACATCCTGCCTCAAAAACTAAAACAAACAAACCCAAAACCACAAGGAAGCAAACAAACAAAGCAACAAAATAAAACCCTATAATTAAAGTGTAACATTTCCATCAATTATAATTGTATTCAATGCATCATAAAAGCATTCTAGTGTATATGACTTCATAATTAATAGAAATCAAAAACGCTTTCACCTTTTACAGCAAGTTATAGCTTGATTGAGGTTTCCCTTGTGCACGTTACCATTTTGAAATACATATTTATTGTTAGACCCCCTGCTGTACTTGGATTAGCACAGAAGTTCAAATGCAGCTATATCTCCAATCTTGCCTTTTATTTTGAAAGCTCTAAGTCAAGATTTTTGTGCCACAGTGTCTATGATTTTAGACATCCACAAGGTCTTCTGGAATAAGTTCCTATGTGTGCTACATGTGTGTGGATGCTCATAACAGCCCTATTCATGAGACCAGAAAATGAAAGCGAGCTAAATCTTCATCATGAAAGAATGAAGAGAGCAACAGTGCTGGGATGATACAATGAAATGTCACCCAGAGATGGGAATGAATAGACAATTGCTACATTCAGAAACATGGGGGAATCTCAGTCTTAAGGTTGAACAAAGAAACTAGACACAACAGGGAACACACTCCATAATCCAACTGATAACATGTTTAAAAAGAGACCTTTAAAAATCGTTTCTGAGTTTAGAAATCAAGATGGTTTACTGTCCAAGAAAAGATTTATTTATTTATTCATTTACTTACTTATTATTTATTTTTAAAATGTTTGCTTTGCCTGTATATATAAAAGTGTGCCCCGTGTGTGCCTAGTGTCTGTAGTGGTCATAAGAGGGTTTCGGATCCCCTAGAACTGGAATTATAGCGAGCTGTAAGCTGACATGTGGGTACGGGGAACCCAACCCATGTTTTCAGCAAGAGCAGCCAGTGTGCTACTCCATACATTGGTTTTACTGGGCTTTGAGTTTTATTCAATGTGTGCTCTCCTTTTTAAATTAACTTACTTATTTTTGGTAGCTGTCTTCTCTCATGTGTCTAGGCAAACAGCATGATTTGCTGAATGCAGTTGGGAACTGTGGCCATCTAAGTCTGAGGAGGGAAAGAGACTCATGGGAGTAGATAGAGAAATCACCTATATGAAAGAACATAAGACCTTAACCCTGAGTCCTAGCAGAGGTGTTAACAGAGTTTTCTGTCCCACCGGGTCCTGCAGCTGTTCAGGTCCAAAGAAACACACAGAGGACTACATTAATCATAAACTGGTTGGCCTATTAGCTCAGGCTTCTGATTAACTCTCACAACTTACATTAACCCATAATTCTTGTCTGTGTCAGCCACGTGGCTTGGTACCTTTTATCAGCAAGATATTCTCATCTTACTTCCTCTGTGTCTGGATGATGACTGCAGAATCTGTAATGATCTGTCCTGTCCCTTTAAGAGACAAGCCCCACCCACTCCCTCCCTTCTGCTGAGGCAAGTGGATCTTCCTCCCTCTTCCAGCCTGCATGCTCTCTCTCTAACCTCTCTCTTCTTCAGAAGAGGTGCTGAGGCCTCTCCTCCCCTCCCCTCTCTCTCCCTGTCTCTCTTTCTCTGTTCTCTCTCTCTCTCTCTCTCTCTCTCTCTCTCTCTCTCTCTCTCTCCTTTCTTTTTTACCCAATAAAAATATCCAAACTCACTCTGCATGGCAGGCCTATCCATCTCTGTCTCTCACCCTCCTCAGCTCCTCGTAGGACCTACCAAGGTCTCTCACCCTCTGCCTCCCACCTTCCTGGGTCCCACAGAGGACTTGGGTGGTAGGACGGGGCTGCCCCTCATGGCCTGCTGCCACCCTTCGGGGGAACTGAGCTGTTTTATCTGAACCATTACAGACTTAGTCTTTCCTCTTCCCAGAATTCGCTTATTCTTGTTGCCCTGCCTATACTTCCTGCCTGGTCACTGGCCAATCAGCACTTAATTAAACCAGCACAGCTGACAAACCTTACCAGGGTACAAGACCATTGTCCCACAGCACAGAGGGGCTGATAGACAGGACGTGGACAAATCAGAGCTCTGGAGAAGCGATTCCAAACATGTCCCGCCTTCAGCTGCATCCAGACCCCAAAGGCTCTGTGGACACACGGACTCTGAGCCGCACTAGCTGACCACAGCGTTAGTTTGAGGCCTTTTCAAGAAGAAAAGGAAGCGAACCACAAAGCTCGAAGAGTCTATTGTCACAGGCAGTGAGGAGAAAACAGGCCAAGAAGCCAGGACCTTTGTGGCCTTAAATGTCAGTAGAAAGGTTTTGCAGTTATTTTTCCTAAGCCTTTCTTGAGTAGTAGAGTTTCAATATAAGATTTAGAGTAGCTAAAAGTAAGACAAAGCTAGGATGGGAAAGACGAATAATTTTAGCAGAAAGTTGGGAAGAAAGAGGAAGATGAATACATAGCACACCCAGACAAAAGCAGAAGCGAGATTTCATTCTCATTTTTTTTAATCTCAAGTTTATTCTCATTTTTCAGATGCAGACAGCAGCATCGCTGAAAGTGTTCCAAAGGAAAGGAGAGCCACGGTGATGAAGTGTCACACCTTGTTGGCATATCCCCGGCCCCCGGGAGCAGGGAGAAAGATGCCATTTATCTGGAAGCAATCAATGTGTCCTGGAGGAGCATGCCAGCTGTATGGAAGATTCAAGAGCATGCACAAGACTTCAAGCTCATCTCCAGACAAATGCTTTGTCTTTCTGCTATAGTCTCTCCCTTCCAGAAGGTCCAAGGTGGAGGTGCTATGTAATGAATTCCCTTTCCCTGACTCCAAAGTTGCTGCACCACCACGCAGATCTTTTCTAGCCCGTAGGCGGTTACTCTTTCAACCTCACTGCCTTGGGATGACCTTCGATCGGAATCTGGAGAATCCTCTCCTGTTCAGTACAGAAAACTCCAAAACAGACAGTTTTGGAAAACAAAGCATCCTGGCTGAAGAGACGGCTCAGCAGTTAAGAGCACTGGTTGCTCCTCCAAGAGGACCTGAGTTCAATTCCCAGTGTCCACATGGCAGCTCACAACTGTCTGTAATTCCAGTTCCAGGGGACGTGACATCTTCACACAGACGTCCATGCAGACAAAATATCAATGCACATAAAATAAAT